TGTCTGTAACAATCACATTTATTAAACATATTAAACTTTAATTAGCTTTTGCAGATGTTATTTTCCAATGACCTGGCACTGAGAAGTTTCACAACGTCTGAATGCTGCCTGCCCCTGCTTTGCACACCCTTCCACCGAAAGACCCTCCCTGCCCGCGTCTGGACTGATCCCAGTGGCCCCTCACTAGGCGTGCTGAGCTGACAGGAAAGCCGAAACATTAAGATGATTTTTCCAAACTTGATGTCTAACAAATGACAACTGCAAGAACATCCATCATGGAAAACTCAATTAAATTTCACATATCATACATGTCAGATCATTGAAAAAACATCCAAATTAGGAAGACTGTCCCATGGCTTCCAAACAAGTACAGTAACTCAATTGCGATTACGCAGAGATCATTATCAGGGATAAGAGCATTTCACTATTATTCTGTCTGGGATTTTAAAAGTTCATGTACATCCCTCAACTTCCTTTCCCCACCCACAGGACAATCCTGCCGTGACGCTGCCTGGCATGTTGCTAAGGTACAGAGGGCTCCTGCACACCGGGCCATTTCTCATCGCTGCCTCTGTCGCCGGCTATCAGAACGATGTCTGGGACCTACTCCTTCCAGCGGAACTCCTCATTCTTATTGCTGCTAACATGGTTGGCATTAACTGATTAGCCAGGAGCTGACAACACTCTGGATCTTCCACTCTGTTCTGATGGGAGCAGGTCCTGAACTTCCTTTCTTGAAACCAGACACTTTCTTACAGCTAGGTTTGGTATTGCTTTGAAACGAAGTACTAGAGGCCTTGTCCATCAAAACAAATGTTACTGATAAAATTACCTAATGGTATTAACATTTTAATAAACATTTACTTAATTTAATGACTGTTTATATCATTAAATGGCAAAAACCCGTTTTCTGGCTCCTTACTCAAGCCACCTGCACACTTTCCGTGTGGCTCCTGCTCCTCCGACCTCACGCAGCAAGATTCCAGACGTCACCGTCAGCCCGAGAGGAGACACACGCAAAGACAGGCGCCTTCAGGCGTCGCCTGCTCCTCAATACTCGCTAGGGGCTAATTCTCACATCTGGTTACAAGATACGCTTAAGATTACAAAGCAGATACGCTAGTGCTTAACATTACGAAGTAGATCCAACTATCTGTTTTGGGGGGAGGAATTATACACCAAGACAGAAATATCGCTGAATCTCCCCATCACTCTGTCTAGCTGTGTCGCTTGTACACAGCCGAGTTTTTTTGGCCCTGCCTGAAAGTCTTTCTCTTTTAATAGACGAGTTTACCCTCAGTATATTCACTGTGGTAACAGCTCAGGCTTCTTTCATTTTTATGTTTCCTGTTTTATGATTCTTAATGTTAACCTTTATTTTCTGTATCTGATAAATGTGGTTGGTTCTGTTTGTCTTGTTTTGCATGATTATTTTAATCTCCAGTGATTTGGAAGATAGAAAAATGATTTTATTCCTACTAATATCACTGAATAATATTATGCACTGATAGGTTTAAATTTACATAAACTTATCATTCATTGCCTCCAAACACAAGGGTATTGGCCTACCACCCACGTAAAATGCACTCGCTGCCCTCACACACACCTTTCCCACCTCTGCTTTGTCACAGCTGCGGTTCTGAGGGCGCCTACTGGGATGCTGTATTAACCTACCCATGTCAACCGTTTAAAAAGCTGAGTCAAGGTGTAATCTGCATACTGTGAGGCACACATATCTGAATGTGCGGCTCAATGGTCTCAGTAAATTTATGGAGTTGTGCGTCATCCCCACAGTCCAGTTTGGAATATTTCCATTTCCCTGAGAAGTTCCCACTTCCACCTCTAGCGCTATGTAACCGCTTTCGAAGACAAAGGCAAATTCCATGTAAATGGACTTATACACTATGTAGTCTCTGGCCTTGCTTCTTTTACTCAGCACGATGTTTACAGCGTCATGCGTGTTGTGGTTTGCATCAGTGATTTAGTCTCTTTAATTTCTGAATATCTCCTATTATACGGTATCCTTTATGAGTTGATGGACATTTCGGTTGTTTCCAGTTTTTGGCCATCATGAACAAAGATGCTCTGAACATCCACACGACTCTGTGTGAACACGCTGTCGTCTGTTTGGGCACACTTCTAGGAGTGGAACCACTCCATCACACCGAGGGACGTTCTCAACACGACCTTCCTGCATTCACTGAACATTTCGAGGATACAAAGAAAGGAAACCAAAGGGCATGCCAACTAAATGGTCCTGGGCTGGAGAAAACAAACTCTGCGCAGGACACCATGGGCAATGGCAAAGTACCGGAGCAGGGTCGCTGTTTTGAATCAGTGGGTCTGAGTGGAGCCTG